GATCATTTTAATTTTTTATCAATTCTTGAGTATAACTGATTTCATCTTTTAACTCATGTCACAACCAAAAATCTTTTTTTTTTTCGGAAGTTTCTGATATTTTCAAAAGGTCATTTCTTCAGTTAGCATTTGCACATCTTGAGAAGCGGAAAACTTATAAAAAAGAAATAGCATAAACACAATTTAGTGAATATTTCTATCCTGAAGAATTGCACAGGTGGCGGCAAAAATGGATAATGAAGTTAGTGCTTATTAGGAAAACGAGTGTTATGTACAGAAATATAAAACTTAATGAATCCTGAAAAAGGCGTCAATATTTTAAAAATATCGTTATCTGTTATTAACAACTAAATCTGATATTATCTGATAGTTATTCTGATTAATATCTTTAATCTGATTCCAACAACTACATCGTTAATCTGATAGTATATTATTGTTAATCTATTTAGTATCGTTAATCTGATATCAACAGCTAAATCTTTAATTCCATATAATCTGAAAGTTAATCTGATTCGTATCGTAAATCTGATATCAACGAGTAAAATGTTAATCTGATAGTATTTTATAGTTAATCTAATTAGTGTCGTTAATCCGATATCGTTAATCTAAAAACTAATATATCGTGATTTTAATGTGTCTAATATTTTTCTTTTTATCGTAACTCACAATCTTTTGGAATACTAGCATTCACCTGATACAAGGCTTGAGAGCCTCTCAATGTACAAAGCTACTGTTAAAATTGTCATGGTTAATGAAATAATATTAGTGAAAGATGTAGTATTATTAAATGAAGATTAAGAAGATAAGGAGTATAGATAGCGATTAACACTTGAAGAGCCTAACATTGTATTGTTTAGGGAAGAAAGTAAAATTTGGTGAAAAATTAAGTGTCACTTTCTTATTATATTTAAAATACCGAGGAAATGAGGCTGATTCGTTACCGTGAAGCGAGGTGGCGTGTCTTCGCAGTAAAGGTCTGAACTGGTCGTACTAAAGAATGGAATTTATTTGAACATTTGTCATGAAAATAGCGATAGAGTAATGACAGGCTTGCGACGATTCCGCTGTGGGGAAAAAGAGGCAGAAGTGTGGAAAAAACTGTGTAAACAATTTTTAACACCATCAAGGCCGGAATGTGAGGACTGAGACGGTCCAATTTTGCTCTCATCGGACAGAGATAACTAAACGGTATCGGAGTTTACATAATATGCAGCCTAGCCTTCAGCGGAAATGACCACACATCTAACAGTCGTTGGTACCCAGCCTATTGAATACTATTGGGCTGCTAGAGTCCAATTATTGTGCGAGAATTTTTATGTATGTGTCTGAAAGACTATGTGATCGCTACAATGAGTGACAAACTCCAACAACATACCGTCTATACTCGTGTATAAGCCGACTTCATGCATTGTGTGACCCCTGCATCAATGTTAACCTCTCCAGAAAAAAGATTACCTTTGTATAGTGCAACCGGTCACTGAATATGCATCATTTTTAACCTCTTAAAACAAAATGACCTGCGTATAGTACGATACCCCCTATTTTTGCGTAAAAAATCTGATCCTAAATACTCAAACGATACTCGAACACATGTGTTAATGCGTCTATTTTAGGGTGAAACGCGGGATATCTGCACGACTCATCACCGACACTTATCAAGCTTTTAGTCAGGCTTATCAGTTCTCTCGAATACAGGTTTTGAAGTAGATGTACCTTTCAATACAGGTTTTGAAGTAGCATATTCAGGGCGATGAGCAATCTAGGTGACTAATCACTAGCAAAAGGAAAGATAATATAAAGAAAATGATAACTGTATATCGAAATATCTCGATTATGGATAATCCGTATTTTGACAGAGTTTGGCCTATTGTTCTTCTTCGCAAGTTGAAAGGTTATGGTATTTCTAGATGAATTTTCGAACTGATTCGGGTTTTTTTATTGAATCATGAAATCAATGTTATCTCGAGCGGCCACTCTTCTAGATCATTTTGCATTAATCCAGGCGTCCCGCAGGTTTCTATCAACGCGCCTGCGTTCTCCCTGATTTTCGTCTCTTTTCTTCCTGCATCATCAGTTCTCAACTCGGGATCTCTGCTGATCACGATATTGAGTTACCACCCCCCGAGGGTGTCATGTGGCACAAGGCCTTCTTAACGTGGGCATTCCGAGCCCGTGGGCTCGGCAAAAAATATGCCCATTGAACCCGTATAAACAGGTTCAGGGCCGGTTTAACTCCCCGAAAGAGACTTCGGCGTAGCCTCGTTCGGGTTCCTCCCGTCCGTCGGAAGAGAGTTCAACTGAGCAGTCGGTTCAAAAGTGAACGACTGACAATATTCAGTCACCCCCCCCCCCACCCCCACGAGGGTGTCATGTGGCACAAGGCCTTTTTAACGTGGGCATTCCCGAGCCATTAGGCTCGGCCAAAAATAGCCCATTTGATCCCGTATAAACGGGTTCAGGGCCGGTTTTACCTCCCCGAAGGAGACTTCGCCCTTCGGCGTAGTCTCCTTCGGGTTCCTCCCGTCCGTCGGAAGAGAGTTCAACCGAGCAGTCGGTTCAAAAGTGAACGACTGACTCACATCTCTGCTGATCACACAACCATTTATTCCTGTCTTAACAGTTTGAGTGGTCTGTTAAGGGAAAATTCGCAATTTAAAAAAAATGACCTCGATTCTGTTTTTAAGTGGGAAGAGGGTTAACTTTTTAATCCCCCCCAAAAAAAAAACATAACTCTTCTCTTTTAACCATCTTAGAAAAACTTTTTACTTTCAACCTGCATTGCTCATTCCAACCTGCCAGAGAGTAACTTCTCGGACTAACCTTTTTCCGTGAATGTGAAGTGGAAAGATTATATTGAATCACCTGTTAGGGCTGTTGTTAGAAATGTTGGTTTCCTGTGTCGTGTTAGGTATTTTTTGCGCCAGAATCTATCTTACATATTCATAAGTCTCCCATTCGTCCTCACTGTGAATATGGCTGCCGCATATAGTCTGGTGCTATATATTTAGAGACTCTTGACAAAATCCAAAGAAGAATCTGCAATGTTATTGTCCTGACCTGACATCTCCGCTTCAGTCACTTTCCCACCACCGTATTGTAGCTTTCCTCTGTCTTTTCTATAAATTTTCATGGTAATTGTTCTGATGAATTTTCCTGTATGATATCCGATCTATACATTACAAAGAGATTAAAGATTATTTCATCAAATAAAATATACAGGATAATAATTCTTAATTCTCGTCTTCTCGGAATTTTTGTGAAGCCTTCAATAAATGCTATTTTTTTTCTTCTTTTACTTGTATTTTTCATACTCATTGCGGGCGAAAACGTCTCTACCGTTTAATGACTTATTCATTGTATGATGCATCAAGAGTTTCAATTTTGAACAGAAAATCAAATTTTCCTTTAATATAACATCGCAGATAAAACTAACACAATTGGGGCAAAATTATTAATTCTTACTTGGCATCTCGGCTTCAGTCACTTTCTCACTGCCTTATTATAGCTTCCCTCTGCCTTTTCTATAAATGCTTTCACGGTAATTATTCAGAGGAACTTTCCGCTATGGTATCTGGACTTTATGAATTTAATCGTAGTCCTAGATTGCAACAATCTCTCTTCAATTTACACTTGAACTAGCTAGATGTAATCATGTTCTATGCTAACAGTTTATTCTATCGCACTTCTTGCTTGTGGAACTCTCTTCCTGCTTCTTGCTTCTCAGTCAATTTTGATCTTCGAAAATGTAATTGTAACGTCAATCGTTATCTTCTGTCTTCTTAATTATTGTTCTTTTATTGTCCTTTTTCCTTAATAGTGCTTTTTTTCCCTCATATTCTCTAACACGCAGTAACCCCTTGCGACTTAACGGTTTTATTCCCTTGCTTGGGGTGAAATGATTTTTTTTTAATTGAGAGAAAGCATGTACTTTCACCCAATTATGGATTCTACCAGATCCTCACGAAATATTTGAAAATTCATTGACTTGTTGCGATGTTTGTCTTCCGGATATTGTCACTCGATAAAAAAAAATAACAGCGTCATCTTGAGGTATGCTTTGGGCTTTGTGAAATCAAATGATGCTAATTGATACTGAAGTATTACCGCTTCGACAGCGTAAATTAAATTTAAACGGAATCGCGTGCGGTATTAAACGCCTTTCAGGAAGAGGACTTTCGCGGTTTTTTGGAGCATGGAAAAAGCGTTCGGTTTGCTGTGCACGTTTCCAACATGAAGCAAATGGCAATCGCTTTTAAATAATATATAAAATATTTCATTTAAACATTTGAAATATATTATTTACTAAAGTTATTATGTACTTTTCAGCATACTAAGTATCAACATTCTTACTACAACATCCCTCCAGGATGTAAGGGATGTAAGGCTCTCTTTTCTTTATTATCTGTAAATTACTACGCCTTCATCGCAAATATAGAGGTTTTTTTTCTTCGTTGCCTCCTCCACGGTTTGGAATTCGGTGTTTTCCTTCTCTGAAACTGGTTGCCACCCTAAATCTCGAGTGTGCAGTCTGCCTGATATTTAAATGAAATCTAGGCAGCGAGAAGTGCAGGAGTGCGAAAGTAAGTGCAACTGACTCGACCGAGTTTTTATTTCTTCGTTGCCTCCTCCACGGTTTGGAATTCGGTGTTTTCCTTCTCTGAGACTGGTTGCCACCCTAAATCTAGAACGTGTAATCTGCCTGATATTTAAATGAAATCTAGGCAGCGAGAAGAGCAGGAGTGCGAAAGTAAATGCAACTAACTCGACCGAATTTGAAATAGGCTCGTCAGTTGTATTTTAGCGCCGATAACCGTTAATTATACATCCTACACATTAAAAAAACGAATAATATTTTTCCCACAAAAGTCTTTGAGATAACTGCTTTGCTGTCCAGCAACATGTTCCCAGTAAACATTTGTTTTGGAAGAAAAAAATATCTAGCTATACTCTCATTGGCTGATATCATTTTAAAATTATTTTTAAATCCTGATGAGCAGGATTACGGCCATATCACGCTGAAACAATGTTTCTTGTACGAACACTGAGGTTAAGCATCGTAGAGCTTGGTCTGTACTAAGGTGGGTGACCACTTGGGAATACCAAGTGCTGTAAGCTTGGATGTGATAATGTCACAGAATTAAAACTCGGGGAGTCGAGTTCCAATTCCAAAAGAGTTCGTTATATTCACATACGCACAAATATCCCTGGTAAAAGTAGGAATCCACCTCTTCTTCCTCAAGCTATGGGTTAATTAGTCGGCCTTGTATCAGTAAGTCATTATTATATAAAAAAAGTTCTTACATATTTTCTGACTTTAAATAACCTGCGAAAGGCTGATAAACCGTAAAAACAGATTAATCAAACAATCATACCGATTCGTTAACAATTATGGGTCAAATCTTGACGATATTGAAGACTTTTATCGAGTTACTTCATTAAACCCATAGTCTAAGAACATAATGTAATTTACACAAGAAATATATATTTTTCAACTCGATGTCAGTATTTTGTCAGCAAAAATTTGAGTATTTAGGCAGCAATCACTCTTCTATACAAGAATATATAAAAACGACTGACAAAGTACTGCGGTTAAATATTTTATTTAATTTTTCTTGTGTTCTTATAATTTTCTTCTCTTCTGGACATAAATTATGTAGGAATTTTCCAAATGTGTTGTATGCCCTAGCGCTTTCCGCTATACTTTTAGCCATTATCAAGGATAATTTTATTTTTACTTTTGACTGAATGTATGTATTGTTTTATATATGTATCTTGAGTTATAGGAATGCTTTATTTTCCAAACACTGTCAGCACATTGTGGCCGTATTCATAATTATTATTATTACATGTTCGATTTTTCTTTTTCATTAATAATGCTTCCATTATTTTAGCCTTTTTTTACATGCTAGTGAGACTCTTATATTTGTATTATCAACAAGTATTTTTGCGAACTGGGTTTGGTAAGACTCCAAGATATTTATATTCAAGTTGCAGAGAAGGTTCGCGAGAAAAACCAGGAATTGTACATGGTGTTTGTGGACTTGGCCAATGCCTTTGACACTGTGAATCGAGAGGCTCTTTGCCAAGTCTTGTGGAAACTCGGCATCCCAGAAAACATGCTAAAGGTGACCACCTCCTTTTATGAAGGAATGAAAGTTAATATCGTGTCTGATGGTATGATGTCAGAATCCTATGATGTCACGAACGGCACCAAGTAAGAGTGTGTCATAGCTCTGTACTTTTTGTATTTTTCATCTTGGTGATGCTGAAATACGCATGCGCAGACACAGAGAGCGGCGTCAAGTTTCAGTTTCGAACAAGTGGTGGACTCTTCAATCATCAGCGTTTCAAGCCAAGATGCACCTTCGTACACAAATAATCCGTGATTTGTTTTTGCTGATGATGATGCTCTTGTTGCGACATCCTTTGAAGTGGCCCAACATCTAATAAATCGTTTCTCTGCTGCATGTAAATTCTTTGGTCTTACACTTAGCATACAGAAAACTGTAATGCAAAAACCTTTTCCTACTCCGAATTCCGTGGTGTGAAACAAAAACCACCAGTCTACAAATTTCCAGAGAGACCATTGAAAGTAGAAGACAAAGCCCTGAACTATGTAAAGTCTTTCACCTATCTTGGTAGCAAAGTCAACTACAGTGGAACTTTAGATGATGAAATCATGCATCGGATTGCTAAGGCTACCAGTGCTTTCGGCAAACATCGCCATCGCTTGTGGGATGAGCTGGGTATTCGACTGGATGCGAAAATTCGGGTTTACAGACTTGTTGTCCTTGCCATCCTTTTGTATGGCTCAGAATCGTGGACTCCAAACAGGTACCATATACGCCAGCTGGATGTTTTCCATAAGTGTGCCATCTTCAAGATAAGACATCCAAAGTAGACCTGTTTAACAGGTGTAATATTGGAGGAATCTAGGCTTTTCTCATACAGCCTCAGTTGCAGTGGACTGGTCATGTCTTCAGAATGTCTGATGACAGGATACCCAAGATCTTAATGTATAGCCAGTTAGATCAGGACTACAGGAATGTAGAACGCCCATGGCTTAGGTACAAAGGTAAGCTGAAGAGCAACTTGTCAACTGTCAATATACATCATAACACCCTCGAGTGCTTAGCCTTGGAGAGGGAAGAGTGAAGATCAACGTATTTTAGTGGACTCAGCGGTTTTTAATCTGCTAGTCGGAATCGTCTTCAAAAAGCGAGAGTAATATCTAAAAGGTCAGCCAATCTAACAGTGATCTCATACCACAATCCCTACTTTTGCTTCATATGCGGCCTCCTTTGAAAATCGTTATTGTAGTTGATACTTCGCATTTGAAGTAAATGTTCCTTTTTTTTATTTATTAAACAATGTGCATTACGTCTCTCAGTCTGCGTATCCCAGAAATCTTAGAAAAAAAAAAATTTTCCTCAGTATTTTTTCTCCGATGTGCCGGCCGATATACGTAATAAATAAATATGGTGATATCTATTTCACATCCAAAGTATTTACGATAATAACGATTGAAGTAATAAAAATGTCACATTAAGAGTAAATTCATTAATTCTTCAGAAATATATATGTGTGAGTGTTTATGTGTGTCTGAGTGTGTATGTGTACGTGTTGATAAGAACGCATGTTCGCCGTCGCTATGGAGATTCTGCATTGTATTTTAATTTGCTCTTTGCCAACCGTACTTGTTAAATTGCTAGGAAAAGATGGTCGACTTAAACAAGTCCAAAAATAATTTATAAATATAGCCAATTCTTTGGAAAATCTACAATTTAAAGAATACAGATAAGAAAATAGTTAGGTTGCTATACTGCAGAACAGTAACAACGAATAAAACATGTAAAGTAATAAAATAAAATAAAAATCGTTTTCTGTGTATTATTTACTAAAATAGATGTAAAAAAAAAAACAAGAATATAATATAATATTCACTCATGTCAAATACGCTTATCTTGATCGGCTGGGTACAAAGTGTATGCTATATATGAATATATATGTAAGAATATGTTATCTGTGGGCGGATCCCCAGGGCTCAAATTGCATGATGTAGATTTTTCCCCAGACCAAAGTCCAAAAAACAAAAGATTGAAGATACGCTGATTCCGAGTCAAAATAACATTGGTTATCATTACGCACGAGTTATTCTTTTATCAAAAGGAGCCAAAACGGCTAATTTTGACTGCCGAAGACTTCCAGCAATGCCCATCATATTTACATTCCTACGTTGTACACCACACTAGAAGAATTCGGAAGAGAAGAAAGTCAAAAGAAGGAAAGAAAACCATTCCTAGGGGGTAGAAATATATTGTTAATTTCATTTGATTACTATGTGATGCGCCATATTGAAAACACTGTATTATGGGAAAGATTTTATAATAAACTGCGTTTGGCCACAACGCAATAATAATACGCCGCCAACGTTTTTTTGTTTTTGTTTTGTTTTTGTTTTTTTTCTTTTGAAGGAGCACTTTTCATTTGGATAATAATTCTGTTTTCGAAAAATCGGTTATGTTCTTTATTTAAGTAGACAAAAAAGTATCAATCTGTCACTGAGAAGGTAATTTCATATATCCCGAATCCCATTAAATATGGCGTTTCTTGGCTGTAACGCGAGAAAAAAAAAAGAAACAACTTGGAACCTTCGATAAAAGGCAACATTTATTTCAACAGCTATCAGCTATGCATCCTTAACAAATAACCTGTGGTTATTCAAGTATATGAATTATATTACATACTTATATGCCTATGCTTACATTTACATGGACGTAAGCGCACACACACGCACAAAACTCAGATATGTTTGATAATTAAATGACAAAATGAAAGAAAATCATATGGAACGCGTTTCGATCTTTAAGGGGATTTTATCAGACTATTTTCTTATTGTTATTCGTTTTTATGTAGGAAAGGATTGATTGATATTTTTCTACTGTTTATCAACCTTTTGCAGGTTATTTAAAGCCAGAAAATATATTTAGAATGTAAGTTGTTTTAGGTGGAGGGAGATAATAATGGGTTAGTGATACAATTACTAATTAACCTATAGCTTGGGACTAAATATATATATATATATATATATATATATATATATATATATATATATATATATATATAGTTTATGGAAAACTATGTAATCCGCATGGGCAGACCCAAGGAGGATAAAATCCAGAGAGCTCAATGTAAATCCAGAGCAAATAATTTAAATAAAAACAGACAACTTTAAGGTTCCATGTAATAAATTATTTCACCACAGCCCTTTTAAAAGACTGTGGATCATCAAACTTTACATTATAATCTTTATGAACCCCCAAAATAACACTTTCAAAGTAAAACAAAATAACAGCGTCTTTTTCGAGCCTGTTCCTTCCATATTAGTTACATCTTCTCTCATGACTTCCTTCTCTCTTTTTCTTTTAAGTCCTTTTTCTCCTCTACCACTTCCATATCAATATATAACTTCCGTTAAGTTAACCGTTTAAATGTGTCAATGTCTGGACCTCCTTAAGTAATTTTAAGTATAAAAGAAAAGAAATTTTAAATTACATCTAACTCACTCATGTCTTCTCTCTCCCCCCCCTCACTTCTTCACTTCGTTAATTTACATATGCTTAATACGGCCCGTCAAAAATGTGTAAATTTCATTTTTCGTTTCAACCTTTGGAAGTAAAGTCGGATGATTTGCAGTCCTTTAAAAGGGATGTGGTGAAATAATTTATTACATGGAACCTTAAAGTGGTCTGTTTTTATTTAATATCTATCTATCTATCTATCTATCTATATATATATATATATATATATATATATATATATATATATATGCGTTGATTTTATCAGTGTATGTGGGAATTGTATTTATATGCATAGACATGTCTGTACGACGACTTGCTAAAAGGTTTTTGACCCGACAAAAAACCCGATGATGAAAAAAATCCGATGTTTGACCATTAGGTCACATTTTGGAGAGTGAATTCCGCCGATAAATTTTCAAGAGTTTCTCGCATATAATATATGTAAATGTGTATCGTAAGATAGATATATCTTAATCCTTTTAATATGCATAATACATAAACTAGCTTCATACTTAGAACTCAACCGTTACTT